CCTACTTGTCCATGAAAATTACAGGGCGTGTGCCAAACCCGGAATATAGTCCTTCATCCTCTACAAATATAACCTTCCTGCCGGGAACTAAATTACATTTGCAATAAGTTCAGGGAAAACAAAGATGAGGTGGTAGTAGAAAAATATGTTTGTTTTTTTTTTTAAGGAAGGACATTAAACCCTTTATTTGGCATCTGAAGAGCTGTGTTGTGCCTGCTCCTTGTTCCAAAGAAACTTTGCGAGCTCTGGGCTGCCTCAGAGAGAACTAAAGTTGTTTATTTCTCCTTATCGTGGACTTTCCGGTCTGGGGAGGGCCCCAGTGCATCACCATGTGGAAGAGGAGAATCACAACTTTGTCACTCAGATCTTTTTTCCTTGGAAGACCTTCCAGGGGCCCTTTTCTCCCGTCCCCAGTGATCTGCTCCAGCGCTGCCACCATGTCAGTGTGGGCAGCTTCTTAATCCCATGGGTTTCGTCACCCCTTAGTTTGGAGAAAATCAAAAGTTGCACCAGAGCTGTGTGCTGGGTCAGGTAACCTAATGAGAGCTCTGGAGGCTTTCTGTGAGCTTTACCTGTCCTTAACCTCAGGGACACGCTGCCTGAGGTGGCCCCATAAAACACTTTGCTTTCTCACAGCCAGGGGGCACAAGTCTTGCCATGTGTGGACAGGGGATGGTTATTTTTGACTTGGCTGATTGCAAGAGTCATGAATGTTTCTGACCCTTTTTCTTCAGGGATGTGGGTGTCTCAGTTGCCCTTCCCTAGTGACTGAAGCTCTACAAGAAAGAAAAATACCCAAAGGTCACAGTATACTCCCAGAAGGTGCAATTTTCTCCATCAAAGAGCTGCTCTAATGAAGTGTTGCTGCTGTAGTGGTGTTGAAGGGATGGTGGGAGTACCAGTGGGTATGCAAAAATAGGAGCTGTCTCAAAACGCTGTCTATGATAACACAAAAATGTTTAAAACAAGTCTATCTGTATTTTAGTAACAGACTAATCTACTAGAGAGAATATCTAGTACAGAATGTCAAAACAAAGCAAAAATGTTTAAAACTGAAAGATAATCTAACCCTGTGCAACTAGGAAGCAAAGGTACCTGATGATGATATATCCCTTTTTATGGAGAAACAGCAGGGACCAAAGCAATATTTATTTAGAAAAAAAAAAAGTGAGAATTCCACTGAGATTAATTTTAGACATCTTGTTAAAAATTTCAGGATTGATTGAACTGTCTTCCTTCCCCAGATTTGGGCAAATGACATTTCTCTGGGGACCTGTAATAGGTCACGTTTATTTTCTGTTCTTTGGGACACAAGTGACATTTAAGTGCAATAACTGTGTTTTCTGGCTCTAGAAAAGCTATTCTTGCCAGGACAGTTCCTTTGGGTAATGAATTTTACAAGGATCACACCAGTAAATGCAGGGAAGGAGCTGTCACACTGTATTCCTCCTCAGCTCTGCTGCTGATCCCGGGTCAAACACAGGGTTGGCTGCTCTCCCTGGGCTTGCACTGACTGCTGGATGGACCTTGAGTAAATCCCCTTTCTCCCTTCACTCCCCTCCTCCATTTCTGTAGTTCATGGAAGACAATTTATGCTAAATGGCTGAGCTGGTGTTCTCCTGCCTTCGTGGTCATCTCCCTCTGATGGTTCTTCCAGCAGCCCTGTCTTTGGCTAAGGAAGAAAGAGAGAAGCAGGAGTTCAAGATTTAGTCTTTAGTTTTTCTTTCTCTCTATGATGATGTTTGCATGGTTACCATTCAATGATTTTAACAGAGCTGTTCTCACAGTAAATTGTGCCAGGAATTTTAACATCCCTGCCCCTACATATTTTAACAAAGTTGTACTCTTCCATGATGGAAAGAGGTTAATTCTGGCACCGCCTACGTGGTGTCTGCTCCCCTCAAATGCTCTCTGCTACTATAAAAATGCTCTTTTTATTACTCATTTTCTTCCTTCTGGTTAATTTACCAAGAGCCCTCTGATGTTTTTTATCCCAGAATATAGATGGGACAAGCTAAATCAATTTTTTTTTTTGTGAGGCAGAATAAAATTCTGGTGGGATTCAACCTCTCACCACCACTNTTCATCTGATATGAAAACTAACATCTGACCCCATGACCTCCCACCCTAAATGGGAAGGAAGCACCTTGCTTTTTCTTGTTTACCTAAAAATCTGGCATCTCTCTTCAGATGCCACAGGGATTGAAGGGAACCTATGGTCTGGGCTGGAGATCTTTATGCCTTTATGTCAATCCTGTAGCTTCAGTTGCTTCCACTCCTTTATATTTGAAGGTGCTTTCTGCTGTGGTTCGTGGTAACTTTGCTTCCTTGCTCAGTTTTTGCCCATTGTTGTAGCAGGACACCCACAAATTAACATGGATTGAGGATCTTTAGTCCTGGATTCAGACCCAAGGGACCAGTCTCAGACACAGCCCACAGATCAGGTGAGCAGAGCTCAGTCTTAGACCTGCCTTAATTGATCCAGGTGGATGTGTTTTGCAGCAGTTGGAAAGGAGACTTGGACAGGATGGAAAATAGGTGTCCCTGCTCCGCAGATGGGAAGGATTTCTTCCCAGTCAAGGAGTGAATCAGCCAGTGGTGACGATGTGGTGATTCAGCCAATGCCCCCTTGAGGAGGATGTGCACTAACGAGACAGGATTCATTTTTCTCCTGTGAATTCCAAAGAAGTCTGTTGAGGTTGACTCAGATACAACTGTCATTGTTTGCAATGGGTGGGATTCATTCCATACCATGGGAAGAAGATGACACATTTAGGTTTAAGATTCTTGATTACATGTCATGTAGCAAACAATTTTTTTAATTTTATCTTTGGGTTAATTATTTCCTGAAGGAGAAAGAAAATCTGAGAGAAGATGAGCATGCTTTGAAACACTGTATCTGTCAGAGACAAAGCTGGCTGGAAGGACAAAATGCAGAGAAATGAAATTTAAAAGAAACATGATTTTAAGAAAATCTAGATAAGTCAATTATTTTAACAGTTAGTTTGGGACAGCCAAGAAGCAAGCCTTGCAGATGAGGCAGCCTGTTAGCAGGGAGGGATTTGGATTTGTGGCAATTGGAGAGTCACCAAAACTAAGGGTGCTCAGCTGATGTCTCAACTTTATGTGACCAAGTACAGCCAGGGTTCAAGTCAGGGATGGACACGGGGGCCAGCTTTGATCCTTGTAGGGAATTCCTCTGGGTCAAGAAAGACAGGAGGTGATAGGTATTGTTAAGGGGAACCTTGTTCTCTTTCTGTTTGGAATATAACTTTTTGTATGACACGACCTCTCACTGACACCGGAGAAATTAAAAGGCATAAACTTAGAGAAAGGACTTGAAACTGGATAAATAAAGCAAAGCGGGTTTGATCTTCTTTGGTTAAGCAAAGGAGAGTTGTCCTGGCCTAAAATGCAAATAAAAATTGTGCCTCAACAGGTAGTGCTGAAAACTGCTCAGAGTAAACTTGTTCAGCCCTGAAATGTCAACAATTTTGTGGGATTTTTGCTCAGGACATAGAACACTGCAGCAAAGGGAGAAAAAGGATGAGCAACTAAGGATATAATTCAAGGTGTGAGGTATTTGGTTTGTTCTTAATCAGTGAAAACCACTGGCAGCATGTCATGCTGTCTTCCAAAGAACCTCAGGGGAGCACCTGCACTTCCCCAAAACGAACAGGCTCTGTTCATGCATCATCACCACGCCACAGCTCAGTGGCATCTCAAAACAGGTGCCAGGGCTTTTTTCAGCACTGGGGGAAGACAAAGGAAAACCAAAGAACACCCGAAATATCACCTAAAAAAAAGAAGAAAAAAGAAATTAATTTGAGGACTGTAGATTTAATTTGTGTGCAGAAGGGTGTTGTCTGTGCTCTGATGCAGCCACTGATTTTAGGAGGGGCGATCTGCAGGCTTGGTGGGGTGGAGCATGAGGGGTCCCGCTCGCAGGAAAGAAGGCACAGCTGGTGCTCAATTCCTGCCGTTTCTTGCCATCTAGCGGCCTGCCAAAGCAGCAGTTCCTCTGCCCGACAGCCCACGGACTTATAAACGCCATGGGAAGGGGAGAGAGAAGTGCCAGGCGGGCATCGCTCTGCCCCTGCCACCGCAGCGCTCCTGCATCCTCCCGTCTGCCCCCCTCTGCCCGCCCTTCCCTTCGGAGGAGGAGGTTCCCTTCAAGTGGTAGAGGTTTTGGTCACTCTTTCTGACCTTGGCTATACTGGAAAGGGCTTTAAAGCTTGACCTTTGGCGTTTCCTGAGTAACGAAGTTATTATGGAAATACCTCAGTCGGGGTTTGGCCAGCGCTGACGTGGAGGGCGGTGGAATCACAGCACGAGGGTTTTTTTTGGTCCTCAGTGCTACTGTACTGGGAGGAACAGCATCCTCCGGGCTTGAACATCCCGATGTGGTTATCATGGCCATTCCCCCATAGCAACAGACAGGTAAAATTCTGGCAAACACTGGGAAAAAATTCCCTGGTGTACGAAATCCCCCTTGTGGCTCTCCTTGGTATTTGAGATGTATTTCTTCCATAGCACCCACTCCTTTTGTGAGACTTCACCATCACTTAACCCCCTGGGAATAACTCTTAGATTAGGATGGTGAACTTGATGTCTGTTGTAAGAGGAAATGTAACTTGGGAATGCAGATGATTGTGTTGATCTCTCCTATTTACCCACCTGTGGGAACTGTAAAGGTTGTTCTCTGTGTACACCCCTGGTATGTTGAATAGATTTCAAGTGTAACCTTCAGGGTGTTGTTTTTTTCAGGCAGGTTCAGATTATCAGAGGTTTTAGTAAAAACAGTTCCCAGAAGAAGCAGGATGCTTTGACACATCTGTCCAGAATTTCTGTGCAAGTAGAAAATGAAAGGCAACAGTGTGTCTTACAAGGCTGGTACTTTCCACCTTACCCTCCACAGTAATCAGATGAAGTAAAAACAGGAGATTACTTCATCATTTTTTATTTCTATCCTTTGCCGTTCCCCACCCAGAGAAACTGGAGTGTGTCTAACAAACAGCAGAGTGGGATGTTTGTAGCTCCTCTTTCCACACAGTCTTTGAAGTAGGTGCTGGCAGGTGTGTCCAGGCCCAGGGTTGCCACAGGTCCTGGCAAAATAAATACATTAATTTTTCAAATTGAAAATTAATTTTTAGCTCTATAGAGAATTTTCACAGTCCATGTTTCCCTTGACATTATGGTCTTAAGGTTTTTTTAAGTAATATGAGGGTGAAGCCTTATTACCTGTATGTTTTCTGGAACAATAATGGTGTTTCCAGAACTCTGAATTCACAATCTTTTATCTAACGCAGGGCACCACTAGATTTTATTCTTCCCTGTAAAGAAACGAAGAATTATTTGAGAATTGTACTTGCTGATTCAGAGAAATAGGGTTTTAGAAGGCACTGAGTCCAATTTTTCAGGCATTGTGCTTCAAGAAATATGTCAACCAATTTAAAAGAGCAGAGAGAACAGCAGTAAGACAGCTGGTCAGAGGAAGAACTTGTCTGATTTCCAAGCATTTAGCATTCACATTTCCTACGTGTGAAATGAGTGCTTTCTTGGCAAAACATGCTGAGAAATTGCGTTGCCAAGGCTACTTTAGGGATGACTTGTGTTTCTTCACTTTCTTACAGGGGAAAGAACCTTCCAGGTCCTTCTGTGCTGGTGACAGTGCTGATTCTGCTACCAGATGTCTCTTTGTCACCAGAAGGGTGCTGCAAACCTTCAGAAGATGAGAAAATGAAGCCTTGCCCATCCACCTTGCCCAGTTAATATTTCTCTTTGAAGAAACCTTGCACATATCAGTGGAAATCTACACTTCAGCAAGGGCTGCACCCTTGGAGGCCTATTGCAAAGAAACATGAAGTTCCCCAGAGGCCTGGGGAGGGTTTTTTGCTCTTCTTTTGTTCACTTACATTCTGAGCTTTCTTCCTGGTAACACTTGTGTAATTTGAAGTACTTTATCTCTGGTTTGTGTTTCACTTCTCTTTTGAAGGCCCAGAGCTCTGAAGCCCCTCAAAGACAGAAAAGAAACCACACCGGAAGAAGAGTTGGGTGTTGGAAGCCATTTCTGCTCAACCTTTGCTTCATCATGACATGCCCAAAATCAAAGCAGGCTTTTTACTTCCCATCACTTGCATATAATGCAGGGCCACTGTTTGAGGTGAAGTTTGTTCCCAGACTGCAGAGAGGAGGGAGCTCACGGGGGTTTTCAGCCTCTGACCAAGGTAGTCGACCACCACGTGCATCTGTGAGGTCCCCAGCTGGGGGGCTGGTGGTGATGCTATAACCACAAATTACATAAGGTGAGTTTTTGTGCCTTGCTTTCCTGCCATGACAGAGGTTGACACTGTAGTTAACCTTTTAAATATGGCTTTCTTGAGAAAACAGTGTCTACTGAAGCTACCCCTTCTTCCACAAGACTGTGTCTGTCAATGAATACATCATGGACAAAGGGAGCTGCAATTTATTTAATTTATTAGTATTGTTATTAAATGCATTTGAAATGGCATTTCCCAAAGCTTCTTAGCCTCTGTAGCATTTGTGAAAATGCAGGCTAAATTCCTAATGTAAATTTTACATAGACTTCTGTGTATTAACAACTTAAATAGCTTTATTGTCCTTCCTGTAATCCAGAAACATTAGAAAGTAGGTAAATTTCTTACTGCACCCCAAAATTCAATAATCTTACCTCTTTTACTGAAGCAAGCATTGTTTTGGAACAGGTTACATAAGAGAAAATGAATGTAGCCTCTCAGAGTGGAACCAGAAATCTATGGACAGTGACATTATGGATTACCCTGAGCTCTGTTTGATGGACTGTCTGTGAAATCCAAACACCTACAGCCCAGTATGGGGTGAAATAACTTTGTAGACATCAATGGTGCTGAATCCCTTTGTGTGAGGTGAAGAGCTGGCTCTTTGTGAGCACAAGCAAACCGTGATGAGACCTGAGGAGATGTGGTCTCAGCTCCAGGCCTCAGCCAACAGATGTGTGCTGGGGCATCTGGCTGTGGGCAGAAATGCTGCTCATGCACCAGCTGTGCTGCCTTCTGGGTAATACCCCAGCTGAGGGGCAAGTCATTCACAGAAGGTATTGTTAGCCACAATTTCAGGTGGAAATGCATAAACAGGTGGTTATTGTCAGGTTTGAGAGATCCTTATCAGCCGAGGCAGCTTGATCTTTAGGAAGTGTTGAATCCCAGTGCATAACTTGGAGAGACTTGCCTGTTGGTTGCCAAGTGCAGGATCCTGAAGTTCCTTTTCATGCACCAGTAGTGAACTTGGATATGCCTGCCCTGAGTGCCTTTACTCTTCCTGGAGCTGAGAGGGTGTGATTCACTGCCAGGTGACAGGTTTGTGTCTCAGTAGCAGAGGTGGCTGAGCTGCTGAGTGGAGTCTCAGTAATGATGTGCAGAGGTGAGATAGCCAGAAAGTAAAGCACTAATTTGGCTAGAAAATCTCATCTGAAAAAAGAGTTCAGGTTAGTTTACCTGAGGATAAATGCCACTTGCATGAAAATCCAGATGCCACACTGCCAGCTCAAAGTGAAGTTCTACTCTTCAGTTGTGCAAAATGGTCACTTCTGTGCTCTCAGTTAAGTCTGGTTACATCTCATGCAAGGATATTCTTTATCCCAAACTTCATGTCTCCTGACTAAAACCAATTATTACGAGATGTGTAGTTAATTATGCAATTATTTATAACGTGAACTTCTCTGTCAAGATTCATAACAGTTGGAAGCTCAGCCTCTTAACAGTGTTTCCAGTACAGATTATTCCCTGTTGCTTTGGTTATTTTACAGTAACTGTGGCAGTAGTTGTTCCTCTGTGGGTCACCATGAGGTGTGTGTGTATGAGAAGGCAGAAAGGGAAATAGGAATTTGAAGTTTGAGTTTAGGCTGGAGATGTAATTGTGGTGGTGAAGAATGTAAAGGTCATGGTGATCTCAGCTGTGGGGATGAAACTGTGGGCTTTTGTGTTTCTTAGGTGTTTTCATTAGGTGAGCAGGAATAGAGCGTGAGCAGGCCTGGCCCAGTGTAGGATTTTTTAATGGAAAATAGTAGTTGCCACTTAAAACTCACAGAAAAATGAGATTTTTTCATTTTGTCTGTATTGAAAGACATGGGGTTGTTTTCACCTCAAGCTTTGTAGCTAAATCCACTGTCCTGTAGGCTCTGGGGATCCTTTTCTGGGTGTCCATTCAGCTCTCCTGCCCTCTCTCTACCCCTGAAATCTCTTCTTCTCTCTTTCCTGGTCACCGTTGTTCCTGTCTCTGATTCCCGTTTGCCTTGGCTGATGTTTGTTGACATGAAATGGTGGGGAAGCAGAGCCATGGAAACCACAGAATGAGGAACCCCGTGCACAGAGCAGGACAAGGGAACATCCCTCTTCAGGGAAATGGATGTTCACTTCTTCCTGCAGCTGCCTGTGCTGTGGTTTGGTCCCAGGGCTCAGCTCTGGGTTTGTGCCTTCTGTCCCCAGATGAGCACATGGGATGCAGGGAGATCCTGGGAATGCTAGCACTTGCCCAGAGGTTGGGAAGATCTGAGCTGGCAGCACAGGGTGTGCAGGGACGAGGCTTTGGTGTGGAGCTTGGCTGCTGAGTCATGAACCATCCCATATTTCCCTCTGTGCTGTCCCTTTTTCTTCCCAAGTCCACTGGCTTAATGGTGCAGGTAATGCAGGCACAGCAGTACCTGGGTGGAGCAGCTCAGCTGAACTGGAAGACAGACATTGTACACCCTATTCCTTCATTTTTGAGAGCATTACTGCAAATTTGCAATTCTGACCACTCTCTTAGGTGGAAAACTACAGGAAAATTAGCAATGTGAGGCAGTGCCATTTATCTGGAGGCTCAAGTTCCACTTCTGACATGCTGTCAGCTGCAGCACCTCCTTCTGTGCTCTCCTTGCTGCCTGTGGGCCTTATGAGCTAAAATGGGGCTCAGGCTACTGTGGGGATGTGGGGGAAAGTATTGCAAAACAGGTAGGTGGAGAAGCAAGGCTCAGCAGGCTGTTGTTTGATCTAGCAGTATGAAAAAGCTTGTGGTTTGCCAGAAGTCCCCTGTCTGGTGGAAATTCGGGGCACAAGAGTTGCCAAGTGAATAAACGTCACAACAGTGTAAACTTTTAATGTCTTCATAAAGAAGCACAGTTTGGGGCAGTGGGAATAACTGGACAAAGTGAAACCAGGATGGTTGGTATGTTTTACTGTCTAAGAGCTCATTCATCTCATCTAATCTCTTCAGAGGCTCGTGTGCTGTGTGGGTTGCTCAGAGGGAGGAACCTGTCACGTGTCCCTCCCTTGCAAGAGGTTGCAGTGAAGAGCAGTAACTGTGCTTTGCTGGCATGAACAGACCTTCAGTTCCACAGACTCTTTTCCCTCTGTGTGGGTTTGTGGGTGTAACTGAGAGCTGTGCAGCTTTGCTTCTGTTCTTTGGGCTTCCTGTGTGACTGTACCTGTACAGAATATTTGGGGCAAAAATAGCAAGGGAAAGACAAGACTTCAGAAATCATGTCATATAAATTGGAGGACCTCAGATCATGTCTTAGGGGGGCTGTTCATCTCCCTCAGGAGGGTTCCTGAGCCTTTTTGTTCCTTGTGTTCTTTGTGTCGTTGTGCACTGTTGTGATTCTGTGGTTTCCCTGAGTGGTTTCACCCAGAACTAGCCCTTTTCAGTCACTCTTTGAGTTCACAGAGTGAGTCAGAAGGCTGTCCTGCCCCTCTAGTGGGATGCTGCAAGGTGAATGCGTGAAATCTGGAGACCATCCACCGAGCCTTACTGCCACCAGTGTTGGGTGTGATGTTTCAAATGTGAATTATGTTATGGAAAGGTGTACAAGACAACTGAGATGAGTATGTAGCACCTTAAGTGACTACCTTAGTAGAGTCCTTCCTTGCACTGGCCAGTTTTAAAGCCAGTGGATGGTGGAAATAACCTTTTGTCATTTCTTCCAGAGTGTTGTGAAATCTGAGCAATGCTGAGCTTTATCTGCACGGATCATCTGCACCTTAAGAGGCAGAAGGTTTCAGTCAGCACCTTTAGTTTCCCTGCTTCAAAAGGCACAGCCTTTCAATTTGTCTGCTTTAAAAATGTGAAGCTACTGCAAGCTCCTGAGTTTTGCTTTTCTGTGCATGTTGGTGAGGTGCTGAGGAACTTCCTGTTTACCTACAAAAATCTCATTTTCCAAATCAAACTGGGCTCTCTTGGGACCTGATTAAGTCCAGGCTCAGCCTTGCTGTACAAGTGAAGAACACAATGTGAAGATCTCACCAGGCTTTGCATCTCTTGATGGTGTGACACACCTTCCACGAGTGTTCAGCCTCATTCTAGGTCCCAAATGTCAGTTGTTATTCCGGGACTGCTCTGAACAAACCTTGTTTTTCGGTTTAAGGCCATTGAGGTAGAATCTGTGTCAGAGAAACAGATTGTCTATAAAAATAATTGTACCTTTACCATCTGAGTAAGAAATACAATCAAAGGTCTGTTTCTGGACCTTTTCATACCCAACTTACTCCAAGTTTCACCTAAAATAATTTATCTCTGGCCATATAAGGATTGGCCCACTAACACAAAAAGAGCAACTGAATTTTTCTAGAAGACAGTTTTCTACTACTTTTGTTTTAATGAGGTGTCCTAGTTAGGACAGCTGAGACCAGTTCATCATGGTATGGGTGTAACCCAAAACTGTGTATTCTATAGCCTTCCATACCATTTCCCAGAAATTGTTAGCAGTAGAGGCCTGTAGATGTTCCTGTCCTCATACCCTTTTATGGAATTCCCCACTCTGAGGGAAGGACTGAGCATTCCTGCCTGAACTGGAGAATATATAAACTTGGAGTTTTGGAACCTTTTTACCACTCGTGGGATCCAGAGGAGGACTGCAGCTCACCGCTCTCAGCCAGACTGCAGCTCACCGCTCTCAACCAAACTGAGACCACCACCCTCGACTGGACTGCAATCACCATTTTGACTGGACTGCAACAGCTCTCCCACCAGCAGGTTTTTCCGCTCTCCCTTTACTTTGGACTCAGGGGGGCCTGGGGAACACCACTTTGTTCATGCCCCAGGGTGCTGGGTTGTACATTTGGGTTTTTGTGGATTGAAGCCGGTTGTTTGTCTGTATAATCATACTTGTTGTGTTGTTTTATTAAATTATTATTCTGACTTGTGGTCTCTCTTTTGAGTTGAGTTCATTTCCCCTGCTGGTTTACCTTTAAACCAGCACATGAGGATTATCAATGATTTACTGGAATGATAATTTATACATTTAAAAACCCCACTAAAATTGAACTAACAACTTGGTGCAGAAACTTAGTACAGAACTAATTACCGTGGATTTTTCTCCACACAGATACTGTGACTGAGTTCAAAGGTGAGGGGGAGGCAGATCACAAGTGCACCTTAAGCATAATAAACCATCCAGCTGACCAGAACAGCAAGGTGGATGTGTGTGTGCTTAACAGCTTTGGGTTTAACTGGACACCCAGATGAAGAGTGAAGACAGAAGAGCCTTTACTTTCTTCCATCAACAAACCATCCGGTGTGTGACGTGCAGCCTGAGATCGGGCACATCCTTCCTTTTCTACTGGGGTGCAAACCTTTAACCAAGTTAAAGACTCCCTGCCTGCTGCTGTAAAAACCTCTGGTGCAAATGTCACTAAGAGTAATTTTAAGAGCATTATTTTGCAAGAGCAGATGCACAGTATCCAAGGTAGAGCGGAAAAATTGGTGCAGACGAGGACCATGAGTGTTCTTTTCAAACTTCAAAGGGCACCTTGATCTTAATCTCATTTTTATCTTCTTTTCCACAAACCTAGGTATGAAGCATAATCACCTTTTTTTGTGCCAGTCTTGGCAAGAAAACTTAGCATGACACAGTTATACAGTTATTTGTGAACAGAAGTTTTGATTTTGACTGGGGGTCAGTCACTGCTGATCATTTGTTGTTTCCATTGATCCATTGTGGACAAAAGCAACATGCAATAACTTCACCAATCAATCATCCCACCAAGAGAAATTTTTATAAATATATGTAAGAGAATTTGCTATATTTCAATATTTTCTCACACCTTATTTGTGAGAATTCTTTGTAAAACAACCCTCCCCTTTTTCTCATCCACAGAATACAAACACACACATTAGTATTCACTAGATTTTGGTCAATAATAGCATTCATGATGCTCAAAAAACTTTGCAAGGAGGTAGAGTGAAGTGGATTGAAAAGCTGGATTCTTGGAAGGGTGTTCTTAGAAACTCAGAGAAAAATTCTCCCACAGACATTTTCTTGGGAGAAATGAACCTGACTCAGTATCATCTTCCTCACAGGTTCATTTTACATGTTTCTATCCTAGGAAAACCTTTCCTTTCTCCCCTTTGTGGATATTCAAACCATAACCAAAACGTAGTAGAAGCAGAATACTGGGGGGGAAAAAAATAAAAAGGAAAATAAAAAGGAAAAAAAAAGGAAAAAAAAGAGAAAAAAAGCTGACTAGTTTTATTCCAATATTTAAGAGACAAACACACAGTGCAAATACCCACCCATTGACATGGGCTGTGTTTTGAATTCTGGTGTCACAGCAGAGCATCCACTGGTCCTTCTTAATAAAAGGAAGCTTTCCCAAAAGAGAAATGAACATCCTGGAGGGATGCTGGAACTGAGACTGCAAAGTAGTTGTCTGGAGGAGTCCTGGCCATGTTTATCGATGCACATTAATGGAGGCATATTCTGTAACTTCATTTACTGTGGTTTGTTCCCTTCTCTGGCACCTTTCTGCAGCAGCAGAATGGTTTAGTGCAGCGTATGTGATGACATCTGGGCTTTCAGGTAAAACTGGGATGAAAGGAACACCAGGAGTGTTGCAGGGTGAATGAAGGGCTCTCCTCTGAGTGTTCCAGGGAGGGACAGTGTTGTCATAAATTGTGTTGTCCTTCCAGGCCTGTAGTGGGCTGGCCATGGAACAATGAAGTGAGGGGCTTTCTTCTGAAGCTTGAGTTGTTCCAGCACCAGAGGGTAGAGCAGCTGCTGGATTCCTGACCTGCAAAAAACACAATAGGGTAGAGCTCTTTGTTTCCTAAATAAGAGGCATGTAAGGTTTTGTCCAAGTAGTTTTATCCTATTTAAACTGCATTTGAGCAGAGGTGGATAGGATTCACCTGGTCACTGGACTTTATTCTGATCTTTGGAATGAAGTTAGAAATCACTCTTCTGTCTCCTGCCTTCTTCCATTTCCCTTCCCAAACTCTCATGTGTTTTCTTACAAGATGCCAACTTAAGGGAAAACTGATTTAGCATTTTGTGAGAGCTCTTCTATACTGCTCATTCAAGGCTTTCCTCAGCAGTTTATGAAATCTTTCTTATCTTCACCTCCAAACACCACACTCCCTTTTCCTCGTTGCCTCCTATTCCTTCATTTCTTGCTCTCTTGCTTCTTATCCTCTTTCTTACTATTTTCCAGATAAATCTTTCTCCTTCTCCAAAACAAAATTCCTCTATAAATTCACCCCCTCTAAGACATTTGCTGTCATTCATTTTTCCAGCCACTTACAATATACTGTCTTTTCTTTCCTCCAACTTGCCATTTGGGAGCTCTGCAACCTGTTTGGTGCCCTCTGATCCCCACCAGCACCACCCCAGTGACTGATAATTGTCAGCTCTGGTTGCATCTTTTGTGTTCTGCCTTCTTCCCATCTGATTTCTCTGGAACTAATTGCAGAACTTGATGAATTCCTGCTAGTCCCATATTAAAGTGTTTATTTTCAGTCATTTTCCTCGCTCTGTGGGTCATATTTTGTCTTACACAGACAGTCTGAACCAGCTCAACACAGGTGCTTCAAGTACCTGAACTGTTACTGGAAGGGCACTTAGAAATTAATATGTTTTAAGAGGAATTTAGATGCTTCAATTGTATTTTAATAGGAATTTCGATGCCTAAACTGTGTTTTAACAGGAATTTAAAGTAAAGTACCTTTGTGTCTAAGACCCTTAGTTCTTTCCCTCAACTCAGCCATGGTGATATCTCACTCCAGACAAACCATCCAGGCACAAGGAAGGTCACTGACTGCCTCTGATCCTGTGCCATGTTTTATACTACACAAAGATTTGTTCTTGGTGTGTGGTTGTGGTCAGGTTTTGATGGGAAAAGTTAAACGTACCAGGCTCTCTTGTCTCTGTTGTGTTAGTGGAGTTCTCTTTTGCTTTGCTGGGAAAGAAAAAGAAAAAAAAGACTATTGTAAAGTCTGAGGTTTTTATGACTTTACTTCCATCCTTCTGTCTCTGTAAGGGAACAATATATGGGGCAAATTAAAGACTTAAAGATTCAGTATCTTAACTGGCACACTCTACAAGGACATCACAGCAATCACTTGGGATAATTATAAGGGGATTTTCATAGAGCTTTGAATGCAACTTCCCTGAAGCCATGAAAAGGAGTGTAATCAAATGCATCCTAGGCAAACTTAGTTTAAAAGTAAGTTTAGAACTACTTACTGCGGCACCTCTTTAGACACCAAAACATGCATCCAATGATGAACAGACAACATAGACCCAGGGGTGCTGAGACATAAATAATGTGCAATATGTTGTAGTTTCCAGATTGTTGAGACTCTTCTGAGATGCTGGTGGTATCTAAAATTACATTAGCAGAGAAAAATATTTGACTGGCTTTTTTTGTTTGTTTGTTTTTGTTTTTTTTTTTTTTTTAGTATTGTGTCTTTCTGATGTGACTGAATTCTTAATGTACAAACATTCTGTAATTTGGTGCAGCGTGTCAGGGGATAACCTGAGCTCCACGGCATCTCACAAAGCATGAAGATACTGGAAGGAAAAGTGTGAGGGAAAATGTGATTCATGAATAATGCATGGCAGGAACAAAGAAAGGCTCAGAATCAGAGGAATGCTCTGAACTTCCAACATATTTTTGCAATTGTACCTGTGAACAACAGCCAACTGTGAGTAAAACCCCCATTTCAGGCTGTGTTAGAAGTGATGGTATAGCATGATTCTAACACCTCGTATGTGTAAGCCAGTTATTACTGGGATATTAAACAGTGTGCAAGAACTGTAGTGTATAGCACCAGGAGGTGATTTAATTGGCTTTGTCCCTTTTATGCTGAATTCTGGACAGTCCCAGCCTTGAAAACCATGCCCCTTGAGAGACCGTATTTTGTTCAAGCAGGAAGAAAGCAATTGTAGTTTAGCAATGAGTTTAAAAATTGTCTTGACTGCACAAACCAGAAAGTCATAGCAATACAGGTTAGTTCCTTTCTCCTAAAGAGGAAATAAGAATTAGAACTTACTTTCTGGTGAAACTGTGATGTTTATAGACTTTTCTGAAAGATAAAAGCAGGACAGGGAAATGAAACAGCAACTTGACATTTGGCACCAATGGATCAAGCAAAGGGAAAGGTGTTTTGGAGGAGGGGGAATGATGAGTTTGTCTCCCACTGCCAACAGAGTAGTTCTATCTTTCAGACCTCTTGGGCATTCAAATAGATCACTAGAACATATTTCAAAGGAAACGTATCACGAGCTGGGCTATACTCTGTTTGCCATAATTTTTTATAAGTTTAATTTTTAAAGTTCATTAACTCACCAGAAGAGGAACTGGCAACAGAACAACCTTAGAGCTCACTGCCTGGGCTCAGTAGGACACTAAGGCCACACAGACCACTTTCTAGAGCTGCAGAGCAACACTGAGGAGGGCAGACATGGCTCCTCATATCTAGACTCAGAATGCCAACTAGATCAATGAGAAGACCTGATTTGCCTTTAAGATCATTTAAAGCTATTGTAATATTTGCTACTCTTGAACTTCTTGGGGTACAAGATCATACCCTGGTTGTTGCAAGGAGACAATTTTCAACAAGACACTTGAATTGCTTTGTCCTCCATACTGTTGTGTGGCCTCAGTGACTGCTCCTCCATGATCATTTGTGTCCTGTCTAGTCCATGGGATGTACAACCAGGCTGTGCTCCCACAAGCTCTTTTTGTTCCAACTGATATTTTTTTAATTATCAGATAGGCTGTTTGGTGTTGGCAGCTTTGCCTTTCTCTTCTAGATCCTCCTGTTATTTCTTTATTTTGTTCTTTCTTTTGATTTCTGTCCTACCAAGAAGCAGTATAAAAGCGTGGAGGAAGTGGCAAGTACCAGCACAATGTGCTCCCAGTAAAATACAGGAGGAGCTGTAATCCAGAAGGCAGGAGCGTTGCTGTAAATGGAATTTTTTTTTTAAAAGGGCTCTTTCACAACACAGGGGGCTCACCTTCAACAATGATCTTTATTTCATGGCTCTCAATGGACAAGTTGCCCACTTTTGCTTGACACCGCAAACGTCCAGTGTCGTTCTGATGGACTGGGAAGATCTCCAGGGTGAACACAGAGTCAGACTTCCATCCTGCTCTGCCCTTCTCCAGCTGCACACATGTAGCTCCTTCCATCTTGCACCACTGCACGAGTGGCCTTGTCTGGCAGTACTGGCCTGGACACTCTATAGACAAAGAGCCCCCAACATGAGCTTTGTACTGGGAGCGTCTTTGAACTTGAATTTCGGGTAAACAACCTCTGGCATCAGATCCTGGAAGAAAAAAATAACACAAATCCCGGCAGTGGGAGGCTGCTGTGTACTCCCCATCACTCTGATCACAGGGTTTTGTCTCTGTCATGACTCAAGACTTCCCTTGTCTCCTTGCAGCAGATCTGATCTCTGTATGGGTCGGTGAGAGCAGATAACATCAACACTACTGCTGCTTTTGTTTCCACAGGGTTGTTAAAACGAACTTTCTCTCTCTGATATAAACTTTCCCTTTTTTCTGTATCTCAGTCAAGTTAGAAATTTAATATTTTAGGAAGAATATATGTAAGATATACATAGCAACTTTTCCTGTGTCATCCTTCTCACAGATCTTTCCTGATCCTTTTAGATTCAATTGAGATTAGTTACTTCAGAACTCTTCTTAACTTGCAGAGGTAAAGGCTTTTTTTTTTGGTAGAGATTTTTATAATTGTAATATTGAATAGAATTATATTTAATGCAAATGTATTGTATCTATTTTTTAAATTTTTGCTACATTTTGTTTAGTTGAGGGTTCAGGTCAAGGGTTTGACTCACTGTAACTCTGGGACTTGGTATTTGAATGTCCTGACCTTTTATCAAAGATCCATGTGATGCTTTATTTCTCTGGCTAGTTCCAAGTAACAAAAACTATGTGATACTCACATTCTTCCTACTGCTCTACCTTCTTTTACAGTGGCTTTGGAAATGGGCATTTAAAAATTAGGTAGCACTCAAACCTTTATCTTGAATATTGTCCTCATTTTGCCCTGTCAAATGTACCTGGTCTTGCCTGATAACAAGGAGGGGGTTATTCACTGTTATTTGCAGCCACTGCAAAAATGGTGGTCTCTGATATATCTCTGCCACGTGGAATATTGAAAATCCTCTGCCCACAGAACTTGGAATGCCAGGAAGTTTCTGTTTGAAGAGTCCAAATCTGAAGTCATCCTTGAATACCAACTTTCCCTTAGGATGGCTTTAAATGAGGTTTGAAGTGGGGTGAGGAGAGTGGCAAAAACACACAGGTAAAGCAACTTGGAGAAGGACTTTAAAACTGGTCCCTGTGGAAGGGGCAAGGGGAAGAAATTCAGATAATTTGGATGGAGATGAGCAAATTAACCAGGAGAAGAGCCCTGGCTACAAACAATGTCTTTTTACTAATGAGAAATATCTGGATAAAAACCAAGGGGAAATAGAAGGCAGAATTGATTCAATAGCCCTAAGAAGAGAAGGAATGAGAGCAGCAGAATAAAAATAGTTTTGTTTGGCAAAGCAAGTAAGTTCTTCAGTAAGTTTGGAGATGTGGGAGATAAGAACTCCTCAGCTGTAAATAAATGACAAGAGTACAAGCTCTCAGCACTGCAGCAGTGCAGGAAAAGACTGTCTTGGCCAAATCATGAGCAAGCTTTTCACTGACACAAGAAAGAAACCTCCAAAAGCAGAAAAGAAGGTCTGGTTATGAAGGAGGGACATAAAAGAACTGAGCAACATTGGAAAAGTCATGGCAGAGGATGAGATGAGCTTGAAAAAGCACATCAAGTGCAAGTATACTGATTGTAAAATTAAGAAAATATTATTTCACTACTTAGTAAAGAGAGAAAGCTGCCAATATATTACCAGCAGTAAATCAGATTGAACAGATAACAGAAATTGTTTATAGAAAGGCAAGCTCAGTTCAAGAAGATACACGGGGGGCATGTAAAAAGCTTTCTGTTCTGGCAATTTTACCTAGGTCTTGTCCAGTGCTCTTCAAGAAAGAGCAGGGTAATGTGTGAGGACTCTCCAAGCTGGAAAGAAGCCAGCTAACACCAGGACTGTGATAGGAAGGTCACGAAGTAAAGCTTGAAATTCTTGTGGATTTTTATTCATTTAAAGAAAAGAAATGAGAGGAAAGGACATCATAAAATCATGTAAGATAGAAAGGAAGAATGAAATAACTTTTTTCCTCATGTTTCTGGTAAGTATGGGGAGAAATAAAGGGCTACACGTGAAGCAGGGAAGGTTGATTATATAGTTTGAAAAACTTTCTAGTTGTGAAAATAGTAATAATGGAACTGATTTCTGTGGAAGCTTGTAGAGTTTGAATTATTGGTGGTCCTGAGGAGTGGCCTACATTGACAATATATCTGTTGAGATGTAGTATCAAAAGCAATATATTTAATATAACATTTAACATATTGCATGATACTTAAAGTGAATAAAATAGTTAAATTTAGTGTTAATATATTAAATATATATAGTATGGAGGGATTTGCAACATATATGATGTGTCAAGTATATTGCAATAGTACCAGCTCTAACATGTTCACAAGGCAGTATTTAGGTGTTAGAGGACATCCAGTCCCTTCCCTGCTTTCCTGACTAAGACCATTCTGAAAGATATATTTTAGTTTTATGAGGCAGGATCACTTCTCTTTCACTTAAAATCTTCTATCTCCAATTAAAAGAAAGCAGATTTCAGATGATTTCAGGTTTCAGGCAAGTGGGACAGACCTCCTTTGGTCATACCACAGCAGCAGCACATGGTTATCAAGAGCCTGAAAATGGAAACTAAAAGCTCAAATTAGAAAGTGAAGGTTTCAGTTCTTTGAGCAGTGATTGCCCTGGAAGATAATGCTCCAGGAAGTTATCTATAAAGATTGATAGCAGCCTTCTTTTAGATATAATCCTATGTAACATATATTTCCAAAAGGATCTGTATATCTCTGCAGCAAAGATATTTTCTGAGGACCTTCATCTAATTATTTTATCACATAGTTTTATCTTTTTTAAAATTCTCTTTTGGAAAAACAGACAAACCATCCAAAACACAACCCCCCAAAAAACTAAATGCCAGAACTTTTATAGAAGGTCCCAAAAGTCCAATTTCTCTGTTTTCAAACAAGTTTTGAGTTTCTCATGAATTCCAATGGACATTAGTTTTGTGGGTACTCGGAAAGGAAAATGTCTTATCAATATTAAATATTGCTCTAAAGAAATAATTGTCTTGCACTTCAGGGAAGAGGGGTGGCACAGAAATTTCTATATTCCTGAATAGGAATGTAGAAATTTCCAGACCAGAAGCTTTACTGAGGTCTGGATGCACTTCAAGGGTAGTTTTTGTGCCCCTCTTGCTCTGCAGGTGAAAGGTATAAGCAGTTCAAGTGTTCTCATCCCCATGAGAAAATTCCATCCTTAGAACTTCCTGCACTATTGCCAATTCAATCCTAAGGAGCTATTTCACTGCTAATAAAAAATTCAGTTGGTTACGATTTATCCTTTGTTTTTGTTTTTGGTTTTTTTTGTTTGTTTGTTTGGTGGGGTTTTTTTTGTTAGTTTTGTTTGTTTGGGGGTTTTGGGTTTTGTTTGTTTTGTTTGGGTGGGGTTTTTTGTTTGGGTTTTTTTTTGCCTTTTTTTTTAATTAAGGTTCCATTGGCATTGACATTACGTATTCTATTTCCTTACATAGTATATTTTTAAGAGAATTGAAATAAAACATGCTTGTATGTCTCCAATGCAATCATAAGGAGCTGCTTCACTGCTAATAAAAGATTTAATTGGATACAATTTATTCTTTGTTTTTTTGTTTGGTTGGTTTGGGGGGGGGAGTTGTTTGGAGTTTTTTTTGTGTTTGGGGGTGAGTTTTTTGTGAATTTTTTTTTGTTTGATTTGGTTTTGTTTTTGTTGTTGTTGGTTTTTTTTTTTAAACTTCCACTGGCATTGCTATTACTTTATTACTTGTTCTGCTTTTCCTTATATATTTTTAAGAGACCTGAAATAGAAGGTGCTTGTCTCCCACCAGGTGAGCCTGAACAGTGTTTCTCCTGTTTTCCCAATGCCTGTGCAAACGTGCCACAGTTTTGCTCCTTTGCAGGTGGTGATCCTTCACTTCCTAATTCCAATATAATCAGGTCTGGTTAAATTCTGCTCCCAGAGCAGAATTCCCTGCCATCCAGTGGTCCTGACTCCACCATCCTTGTTTCCTTCAACAGGTTGCCTATGGAATGTGCACTGGGCTTTGGGAACAGCGTGTGGGAGGAACTTGTCCTGAGCTTGTTGTTCTGGTGCAGCCGCAGTTTTGGTAGGGAAAAAAAATAGCTTACTGAAATTGGATTGAATTTCCTTAGTTCTGCTTTGTGCATCCTGTGGAAAAAAGCCTGTGCCTGCCAGGTAAACACCACTATTTGTGATTTTTTTGGTTTATTTTTTTTTTTCCCCTGACAGTCAAATAGAACAATCTTTTGAATTTCTTAATAAACTATATGAGCTACAGCTTCCATTTCAGTGTGTGTGAGAATGTGGAGACTGTTGTCAGAGCCTGCAAAAGGGCCTTACTTTCAGGGGCTTAAACCAATCAGACTTTAAGCTCCTTTTAATTCTTTTTTTAAGTATTACAAGACAATTCTTGGAGCATAACAATCATCATAATTGCTTTGGTATGTTGTTACTGACTCATGGCTGAATGTTAAGGACTTGTTAATGACTGATGGCTCAATGATTTGGGCTTCAGGGTTTCAAATTTTTGCCAGGAAGAAGTCCTTGGTAAATGTTGTCTAGAACAATATCACCAGATGAGATGAATGAACAAGAGTTATAAACATTTTCCTCAGGCTTTGTGAAATTCTTAGTTTCAATTATTTTGAACTTCAGTAACCAAAAAATCTGGACTAGAGAAAGCCTTTTCTTATAATCCATCTTTTTTTTTTCCTCTAGTGCTTAGGTGTTGGAATTGGTGATGAGCATGCCCTGAAATCTCTAGTTAGCCTTTTCTCTGTCCCAAATCACACCTCCCTTGGCAATAAACTGCAAATGGACAAAAAGCAGTGGAGAAAATCCTTTTAAAACTAAAAATGTTTGGGATATATTTTATATAGAACCAAATATTTAAGGCAAACTTTAAAAATATATTTCATGGATTTCCTACAAAGGCCATTTGGCAGGGGTAGGTTTTGGTGTAGATTTGGGATGAAATAACAATATAAATTATAATATCCTAGAGAATGAGCGATAGATATATTTTGTTTTTTAAATAGGAGGGAAAAAAATCAACACATCTGCCAGTGAGAGAACACTTCTTCAGTTCGTTAATTGTCATTAGAATGACACATACAAAATAAACCTGAGCACACATGTGGCTTGGTGAACTTTTCCTCAGAAGAGTATCTCAGGTTTTTTTCTCTTATGAGAAGTCAGTGGTAGAGACACTGCCAATTATGTTCCATATTGCTTTTAAAATAAGTTTAGTTAACTTCTGTAACAATAGTAGAGAAGCCAGTTACAAGGTTTTACACCAAGGCTTTAAGTTTTCAGTTTCACAAACACTGGTGGTCATGACGAGTCTCTGAATGTGCAGTTTTCAAGAGGGGAAAAGAATCTGTAACAGACTTTATATATCAGCTTCAAACTTAAACTCCTCAGCAAGATCCCCAGTGATTAAAAGCACATTTTCTTTCAGATCCCTTGAGTGTATTTCCGAAGAGGCTGCAGTGAGATGGGCTCTCTTGCACCAGGAATTAATTTGCACAAGTAAAGCAAAGCTTCTGCCAGGATTTCGAATGAAAGCAGGTATTCCATAATTGTACAGTAGGCAAATACTCCTGACAGTACTTTAATAAAAATATTTTTTAAATTTTTTCCTCATCTTTACATTCTAGAAAACAGCCATGACATGACTAATTAAGCCAACAACTTTTTTTTCTGGCAGTGTTGGTGTTTGCAATGCTGACCTATCTGCTGATGTAGCTGATGAAGAGTTGCATCTTTTTTTAATTATTCCTTGATGAAAGCTGTGTAAGTGCAGAAAATACGCTTTTATGTTTTGATGACTGAAACCTGAAGATGGGACTTTTCTGTTGGCATGTCCAGGGTATCCCACAAGGTCTGACAGCAAGATGTCACTGGGGCTGAGAGCTGTGCCCACCATCAGTGGGCACGTACTCGCTTTCTGGATGGGATTCTTGGAGCAAGAATGAGTTTTATTATTATTAAAACCCAGCTTGCTGGGTTTTATTTTCACTGGGATGAAACACTTCATTTATTTTGTGTTTGCAGCCCAGAGAGCAACAACCACTCTTTGTAAGGAAAAACTCTGATGTTACAAAGGAAACAGGGTCTAACTGGACTAAAATTACAGGGATGTGGGGGCAGAAGGTCCTTCTGCTTGTGACTTATTAGAAACAGGCTTATTTTTCTTTCCCTAATTTAGAAAATATTATTACTGTTGTTGTTGTTGCTATTATTATTATTATTATTATTGACTTGGTCTATGAAATCTGAGGGGTCAACTTTGTTTCTCTTTGGAGTAAGGGAACCTTTGAATAGATCTGCAACACACAAAGCTTAAATAATTTGGCTTCAATTTTCGGCTTATTTTTAACCAAATAAAACCCAAGCAAGTTTGGGGAAACCTTTGGGTAAAACGTAAATACATTTAAAAAATGTATCATGGTTCTGTAGAGACTGACTTGCAAAAGTTTTCTCCCTGTAATGCTCCTGTGAACATCATTTTTATTTTTGTAGTAGGTGCAGAGAAAGAAATATTAGTGTTCTTGGAGGACTCCAAGTAGTTCTCTCCTAGATCTAAGAATTAAACCTAATAAAATGTGAACACCAACCAAACTAAAACCCCTAACCGTGTGTAAAAAAGATTGATGTGATAAACAGAATTCCCATTCTGTTTTAAAAGCAGTATTTGGAACCTGGCAGAGGAGTGTGGAGGGTTCATCCAAGTAGGAAAGAATTCTACCAGGCAATAAAGAGAGGTGATTATGTGAGGGACTAATAACAGAGGGACTTAATGAAGTGCCTAATTTTCTAACCTTCTAATTTTCTTAGAATAAAACACGTTCCTTTAGGGAATGAAGGAGGTTGTCAGCTCAAGATATGAAGCATGCTTCAGAAGCATGCTAGTTTAGTCATTTGAAAATCAAGTGTAAAGCAAGCAGTTCAGCAGCTTGCTCGAGCTCAGATCACACCCTGATTAAGCAGCTAGCATGATAACTCTTGTCTCTTAAGCAAAATATTTGGGTGTCTCTTCCCAGGGATACTCTGACTACTTGTTTAACATTTCCTATTAGTATTAATAAAGTGTTTTATTCATCAAAAAAGAGGAGTGTCAGAAGATGCTGTTGATTTGCAGGGCTGGTCACACGTGTCAGCTAAGCTTTGCACAGCCAATTCAATTTATGTCATTTTAGCAGGATTTTATCACATTATTTTGACCAATTTAGCAGTTGATCCATTTGAAATGTATGAAGAGCAGCTGAGTGTATCCATTGCAGCAGCTCTGAGCCTTTTTGTATCACTTCCTTCCTTTCAGTGCCAACACTTATGGCTCCTGTATGATATCAGGCAGGGAGAACTTGAAACAAAATAATCTCCTTGAGCAAAATAAAATTAAAACAGTATTAGGAGTATACTAACTTGAAATAAAATAATCTCCTTAAGGAAACTAAAGTAAAAATAGTACTAGCAGTATACTGGGCACAGGGTTGTCTTCATGTCAGTCCAAATTAGAAGAACCTCTTGTTCCAAAACTGTGGCGGTTCAAAGTTGAAAGTGGGATGATAATTAAAGTGGGATAATAAGTAAGCCAAGTAATTGCAGAGACACTTGTCTGGTGAGGATAATTTGGTTGCAAAGCAGACTTAGTTCAGAGTTAGTAGGATTCCCAGATTTCAGGCACAAACCCTTTGGAGGAAGAGCCTTCGGCCCCAACCACAGTGAAAAATGTATTTGGTCCCCAGGTGCTGGAGTTCTTGTCTAGACAGTCACTGAATATTTCTCAATTATTAAATTATCATCCTCTTCACTCAAATTAGGAGTCTCTGATATGGTAAGAAAACAAGATGCTATCTCCAGGGTACACTAAGCACTGCTTTGCTTTCTGTTCCCCACCCACAGTGTTTAATAAAACTCCACTCAGGTTAAATTATAAAGCCACATCTTACCGTAAACTTGACAGATGCTCTGAGCCAGCATTACCAGGAGAAGGTACAGCAATATCCTTTTGATCAACATGACTGCAGAAACCTTCATTCTCTGGGCATTGCAAAAAGATGTTCCTGAGGGTTTCAAAGGTGCAGCTCTGACAGTCTCTCACACCCCGTGAGGTGTCCCTGGGGTGTGTGTCTGAGTCGAGTCCCTCCACTAGTTCTGCTGCCAAAAAAAGGGGTGGAGAAGCTACAAATCTGAAAAAATATGATGGGTTACACAGTTGTCTTTATTTTTTTGGTGTTTTGTGTGTGTGTGTGTGGTTGAAACGTGAACTGCTTCATTGTTTCACATCACCTCAGAACTCTCTGCTTCTGCCCTCACAGTGCAGGGAACCACAGCTATTTTTTTTTTGAAAGATGCTTCTGCATGTGAGGTTTAAATTTTATAACCAGCAAATATAGCAGAGAGAAGGGAGGCACTTGTTCAGTCCTTCAGTGCTTGTGTTTGACTCTAATTCAACATCAGCAAATTAGGAAGCTGAACAAATTCACCATTCACAAGCTGGTAGATGTCAGAAACATGGCTGAATATGTTAATTTGTGTTAGATTAATTTAAAGCAATCTGCACTAAAAGTACTACTGTACTATGGTTTCTAATATTGTTTGTAATATTGTACTATTGTTTCTACTAGTTATTTTTAGCATCTTCACAACAGAAGGCCAAGTAATTTGATTTTTTGATTTTGTGGGTCCTTTTTCAGCGTGTCCTTAATATCTCTCTTGCCCCAATATTTCCAAAACATTGAACCACTTAGTTGAATCTTCCCAAAAACTGCTGACAATGCAAAGTTTCTTCATGAAGTTAAAGCCAAATTCAAGTGGAACAGGAACTTCATATATATAGAAGGTATCACTTCTGCCTATAACAACCCCAAAAAGAAACCAGGGAGAGGAAAATAATGCAGTTATAAAACGCTGTGTTAAAATGGGGTAGTCAAACACTGAAATATATTTTTCTAGAGAAAATACTGAATATTATGGTCTTAAAAAAATTTAAATTCTTGGGATTCTTTTTTCAAAATAATATTTCGGAGAAAATAATGGAACAATTCTCTGAAATTTTGAGTTTGGAAGGGTCTGGTCACAGGAGAATCATCCTGATGTTCGTGAGAAACTGAAAAAGCCTTACAAAATTACAATCCAGCCTGAATGGCAACTACTTACGACAGAAAACTCGCGGAGTGTAACTGCACACACGGCATTGCCTCCGCTGGAGACAAACGCTCCTACCACGGGTTGTAGAGTGAAGACACCTAGTGGTGAATCCATGTCTAACCTAGAAAAAATGGTTATTCAGGGAGGGATTTCCTGCCACTGCCATTTCTGCCTATGCTGTGTCGAGTTATCCAAAGCCTATGCCAGGAATGTAATATTAGTAGTTTGTACTTAAGCTCTGTACTTTCATTAGACAAAGTGGTTTGGGCTGGATTGCTGCAGATTGAAGCTTTTTCATTAAACAAGGTTTTGTCTGTTCTCTGTGGTGGTTTGAGATCGACTTTCTGGGTGGGCAATCCCTTTTTGGCAATTTTGTGGAAGTCTTCTGTGCTGTCTCCCTTTGGGAGAGAAGACGTGGGTCAGAGTGGCAGGAAGGAACACATTCCCTGTCCTGCACACTGTAGATGGCTTGTAAGGATTCTTTACGTTGTATTTTTTATAGTAAATAGCTTGGACACTCATCTATACTTTGGTAAAAAGCCTTTGGCAAATGAGACTTCCACTGCCCCTGCTGATACATCATTACCTTTATCTCCTTCCTGGAGAATGGTTGCTCTGGGGTTGTTGGTTGGTATCTGTTTAATTGTTTTGAGTTTTTTGTTTGTTTTGGTAGGGTTTTTTTCTTCATAATCTTTCTGAAAATGGCAAAGAATCTAAATTTTTCGTGTTTTTTGTTGGGACTGTGTTGCCACCTTGAGACATTCCTGCGAGCTTTTCTATTTTTACAGTATCACAAGACCAAAGCTTTGGTTTGGGGTTGCTTTTTTCCTGTTTGCAGGTGATCAGTCTCTGACCACAAGGTGAGACACACCATTTTGACAGTGGGCTCCAGTAAGTCTACTGAGAGTTACCTTAATCCTACATGAAGAAGGTTTGACAGCAATATTTTAGTGTCCCATCCAGCTCCTTGCCTGTCACGGGTGATCACTGTAATTCCCTGTTAAAGACCAGCTACTTCATTTTTTTGCAAGCCTTCTCCTTTTCCTGTGAGATTCTCTGCATCTCCCTTTTCCCTCAGCAATTTCAGTTTAATGAGAGGAACCAACCCTTGTTAAATCAAAGAACAGAGAACAGGTTCTAAAGTGCAGGCTGAGCCTGGGCCTGAACCTTCTCATCACGAGGGACATCAGTTCATTCAATACAGAGGTGGTGAAGACTCTACTCAGGGTTTTGCTGTACATGAAACACTTCCAAGGGTGTTGTAGCTATTGAATTTGTCTTGTGATAACGACGGGCTTCAGAAATAAGGGGAAGGAGGAAGCAATTTAAAGCTAATTATAGAAGAACAAAGGTGAGGAGGTCTCATTTACTCCAGTGAAATCCAGCACTGAATTTGAGAGCTATTTTGTCCACTGAAGGGCAGATTAAAAACCCACTTGAGGCAAACCAATACAACAAAACCCCCTAAGAACCTCTAAAGCTCCTAATTCTTTTTCTCCCAGCTTTGAACAGAGCTGCTGAATGATATCCTTAATGGAGCTGCAGTAGCTCTCTGTGTCCGACCTCACACTTTCTGCTCCTACTTGTGAGCTCAATGATCTGCTTTTGGATAGGAAAGAGGTGGCCTCCACCACCAGATGACCCACAAATTCCAAACCTCTTGTAAAAAAAAGTGGTGGGATGGGCAAAACCCCGAAATTCTTACCTGACATTGGCAGAACTGCGCTGATTGTGTCTCCTTCAGCCTCTGCTGCCTCCCCTGTGTAAATGATAAATGCCAAACCTAATTATTAATGTAAGTGTGGCCTCAAAGCAGTTGTGTATCCTTTATCCTACTGCATCCTGGATATGGGTTGAACTGCCTGGATTCAGATAAAAAAGTGTCACCGTAAGAATTCAGCATGGCCTAAAAACTAAACCTTAAATACACGTTTCACCCAGTTCTGCATTAGATTCCACACAAATCCTCACCAATACACTCAATTTTGCAAGTCTGCATGTGCTGTTTCGTAGAGTTGTACACACAAAAAAAAACTTTACAAAAGGCTATGTTTATTCTGCTTTTCCACTTCGTATCAGGGTAATAAATAGCACCTGATTCTAATGTGCTGGAAATGAGTGAAAATGAGAAAGCAATGGTTAATAAATTCATCAGTCAGGAGGTTGCATGAGTTTACTGTTGATCCATCATGAGATGTCAAGCCAGGTAAGAATTCAGAATGTGTAAGGAATCAAACCCACTCTAGTAATTTTTGATGGGCTGATTGATGCTATTTGCTCAATTTTTAGCAAGTCCCTAAGGGAGACAGAGATCAAACTGTGACCTTTTTGCAGACAGTCACAATCCATTTCTACCATCTTACATTACACCTTTATATATGGACTACCACATGTTCTTCATCCACTTTGTTGGCAAAATAAGTGATCATGCATAAATCTATCAAAAAGGAATACCTTTTTACTTTTATTCTTTTAAAGATACTACTTTTTCATTACCGAGTGAAAACTTTACAGAGTAATTTTTTTTCAGTATTGTTTTAATATAAAAATTTAAATCACTTACTCTGGTCTAACTGTTCCAACAGGAAATCTTGTGGCACTGCAGGTATTTTCAGCCCTACTTTATTATCTAATCATAAGTTCAGGACTTTTTTTTAAATAAAACCATTTCTGTGGCCACTTACCATCAGCAAAACATCCCTACCACCAAACCAGAAGTAAAGCATCTCCACTAGACCAAAAGACACTAAGAGAATCATTACAGTGAGAAGCTTTGTTAAAAAAAAAGATTTATTTTGAAAGTTAGACACAACCTTAAAATTGTACAAAGACAACAAGCACTCAAATTACACAAAGAGTTAAGTAGCAGTGAGTACAATGTGAATGCAACAACAGTGAGTCTTGCCTCTCTTTATATGTAAATATAGAGATTATCCTTGCCAAACTTCCAGCTTTTTTTTGTTCTCTTTTCTTTTTCCTGAAAACCAGCTCATTATGCTGCAAAACCAGGGAGCATTTCACTGTTCAGTTCAGAACTGCTAAAAGGGGCTCTGGCTAAAAATAGCCCTTCTATCATGAAAATATCCCATACTTTGCAAACAAGTTTTGAAAAACAGATTTCCCTTTCATTATGTTGGATGTTTCACCTCCCCTAAGGACCTGCCAAATCAGAGGCTTCAAAATGATTAAAAATTTGGAAGCTTGCTCATGTTTTTTCATTTTCATTATTTTACTCTTTGAAAGTGTTGTTCCAAGGAAAGCATTTCAGAGTAATTTTAGCTGTGAGTTGACTAAACTGATTGAAGTACATGGTCAGAGAAGAAAATATTTTTCTTTTTATTTTTTTTTAATATTACATTTAGAGTTCAAATATATTAATAAAACCACCTGGCAAAAAGTATCCCTTATAGCTTGTCCCTTCCTATGTAAAGTGAAAAGCAGACATTGCTACCATCTTACCTTTACTTCTGAAGGTACTTTTTTTTGCAGGAAATACATAGAAAAATAATAATGCAGTGTTCTTGCATGGAGACTGATAACTTAATGACAGCCTCTGAGCTAGGATTTAGTGATTAGTTAGTTTAGATATACCAGAACACTTCTGCTGTAAATATTCCCTTGGATCAACAGCAATTAGAAGGTTATTATAAATTAAATTTTATCCAACTGTAGCCACACTGGCAAAAATTATGGTCTAAATTTGAGTGTTTGCAGGACTCTGTTCCACAACTGAGTGGAACCACTCACACTTATTTTCTCTAAAAGTAGAACGGTCTTGATGATTTGGGTCATGTCCATGATTATAAACTTATTTATTCATTCTTCTTTCTAGGTTACCTGCAAGTGCTTTATTTTTCATTGTTTCACTCCATTATTAATGTTTGTTG